TATATATATATATACATATTAGTCAATGTTTTTAGGTTACCCTCACTCTGTAAGCCTTTGGGAAGCTCCATAGTTTTCACCAGCTCCTCTGCAATATCAAATGCGTTTAACCCACTCAACTTCCTCTCCCAGAACAGCTGAAGAATGAAGCAAATCACAAAACAAAGAAGATCCTTCTTAAGTTTTGAACAGTTTTTCCAAAACTGAATATATGCACCACTTGCCAAAAATAAATCATAGCAAATCACTAAAGGTAGGGCCACACTTAATGACTGTTTCCATTAACCTGCACAGATTTTTAATCCTGGACACTCGGGAAGGAGGCCACACCTTGTGACCGAGTAAACACTGTGGACAATACACTTAACTGTGTTAAGTGACAATGTGTTGTGACTGGAAGTTGCAGCTGTAGATGAGCGTGTAAATCCCATGACATCACACCAATTCTCAGGTGCTCCGGTACCAGAACAAATATGGATGCAACCAGCTTGCGCTGTTAATATCTGTCTATATCTACAGCTCAATTTGTGCCGAACATAACAAGTGCTGCCAGACTTTTTGTTTACCAGTTTGTTTTTCCTGTGTTTGTGCACCTTGACAGCGGATGAAGTTGCACCAGTAACTTCTGCTGTGCTGAAAATGACAAAAAATAAAAAATGCACAAAGTTTGGGTGAGCTCCTGGATGGACAGCCATGGACAATGCGAACTGTATAGCCATAGGGAGCTGAAATCTATCAGTCCTGTTGTGGTATTTCTTTGATTTATTGCTGTTCATGTGTTTGCCAGAGATCAATTTCCCTCCACTTCACTTCACCCCCCACCTTAACCTCTAGAGTCCTGAGCTTTGGAAACCCAAGCTGTGCGGTCCTCATATGAGGACGCAGGGACTCTAGAGGTTATGATAAGAGGTTTTACACTGGTCAGCTGTACAGAAGTTACTTATATAGTGGGTACGGAAAGTATTCAGACCCCCTTAAATTTTCACTCTTTGTTATATTGCAGCCATATGCTAAAATCATTTAAGTTCTTTTTTTTT